ATTGAGAGTGATGTAGGCTGTTGGTTTTGTATATATACTCTGGATTATGTTGAGGAATTTCCCTTCAGTCCCTAGTTTGTTGAGTGTTTTTATCAGGAATGGATGTTGGATTTTGTCAAATGCCTTTTCTGCATCAATCGATACGTTCATGTGGTTCTTTTCCTTTTTCTTATTTATGTGGTGGATTACTTCGGCCATTTTTCTAATGTTGAACCATCCTTGCATCCCTTTTATGAAACCCACTAGGTCATGATGTATTATTTTTTTGATGTGCTGTTGGATTCTGTTGGCTAGGAGTTTGTTGAGAATTTTTGCGTCTATGTTCATGAGGGATCTTGGTCTATAGTTTTCTTCCTTAGTGATGCCCTTCCCTGGTTTTCGTATGAAGGTTATGCTTACTTTATAAAAAGTATTAGGGAGTTTCCCATCCTCTTCTATATTCTGGAATAATTTGAGTAGAATTGGTGACAGTTCTTCCCTGAATGCTTTGTAGAACTCACCCGTGAAGCCGTCCTGGACTTCTTTTGGTTGGGAGTTTTATGATGACCTGATTAATTTCTTCTTTTGTTATGTATCTGTTCAAGCTTTCTATTTCACTCTAAGTAAGTTAAGGTAGGTTGTGTTTTTCTAGAAATATATCCATCTCTTCTAAATTTTTTAATTTGTTGGAGTACAACTCTTCATAGTATTCTGTTATTATCCTTTTGATTTCGTTATGTTCCGTTGTGACATTGCCCCTGTGGTTTCTAATGCGAGTTATTTGTGTCCTCTCCCCCTTTTCTTTTGTTAGTTTTGCCAATGGTTTGTCAATTTTTTAATCCTTTCAAAGAACCAGCTTCTTGTCCTGTTGATTTGTTCTATAGTTTTTCTGTTTTCCATCCCATTTATTTCTGCTTTCATCTTTATTATTTCTTTTTTTTTTTGGTGACTGTAGGTTCCCTCTGCTGGTCTATTTCTAATTGTTGGAGATGCTGTGTTAATGTGTTAATTTTGGTTCTTTCCTCATTTTGGATGTACGCATTTATTGAAATAAATTGTCCTCTCAGCACTGCTTTTACCCTATTACAGAGGTTTAGGTATGTTGTGTTTTCATTCTCGTTTGTTTCTAGGAACTTTGTGAATTCACATTTTATTTCTTCTTTTACCCAGTCATTTTTCAGCAGGGTATTATTCAGTTTCCATGTATACAGCTTTATTTCCTTTGTCTTCTTATTGTTGATTTCTAGTTTTATAGCATTGTGGTCTGAAAAGCTGTTTTGTAGTATTTTGATATTTGTAAATTTATGAAGGCTTGCCTTGTGACCTAACGACATGGTCAATTCTGGAAAAGGTTCCATGTGCACTGGAGAAGAATGTATATTGTGCTGTTGCTGGGTTGAATGCTCTGTACACATCTATGAGGTCAAGTTGGTTGATTGTGTTGTTTAGTTCCTCTGTAGCTTTGTTGAGTTTCTTTCTGGTTTTTCTGTCACTTTTCAAAAGTGGTGTATTAAAATCTCCCACTATAATTGTAGATTTATCTATTTCTTTCTTCAGTTCTAGTGAGGTTTGCTTGGTCCTCTTTCATTGGGAGCATAGCTATTTATTACGGTTATGTCTTCTTGCTCTGTGGACGTTTTGATCATGAGATAGTGTCCTTCTTTGTCTCTTATGCTGGTTTTTGTCTTAAAGTTTACTTTATTGGAGATTAGTATTGCCACTCCTGCTTGTTTATTGTTGCAGTTAGCTTGGTTTTTTTTTTTTCCCATCCTTTAAATTCTAGTCTGTTTTTTCTTTGTGTGTAAGGTGTGTCTCATGCAGACAGCTTATTGAAAGGTCTTGTTTCTTATCCATTCTGTCACTTCATTGGTGCATTCAATCCATTGACATTCAATGTAATTATTGATAGGTATGAATTAATTGCTGCCATTATGTTACTTTTTTGGCAGCACTGTTTCATTTGTTTTGCATGCCTTCTTGTGCTGAGTTTGTGTTTTTTGTGCTATTTCTTGTTGGCTTCTTAGTTTTCATATTTGCTTGTTCTGCTTGGAAGTTCATTTCCATGGTAAGTTGTGAAGTATTAACTTTCTTTGGAGTTACCTTATAGTCTATTAACTTTTCTCTCCATTTAAGAGAATCTGTTGTATCCTGTAATCTACCTGACATTCTCACCACCTCGATCTCTGTTGCTATGTTTATCCCTTCTTTGACATTGATAAAATTTTGATCTTCGGTTGACCTCCCAGCTCCTTTGAATTCATTGTTGTAGTTTTGTTCTGTCTGTTAACCGAGTTCCAGGTGGTGTTGCCACGCCTGTCAATCTTTGGTTATTGTCTGTTCTTGTTGGTTTTCAGTCCAAAGAAATCCCTTTAGGATGTTTTGAAGTGCTGGATTGGTTTTGATAAAATCTCTTAGATTCTGTTTATCCTGGAATGTTTTGATTAAACTATCATATTTGATTGATAGTTTTGCTGGATTTATGATTCTTGGTTGGCCGTTTTTGTCTTTTATGGTTTTGTATATGCCTCCCCATTGCTTTCTTGCCTGCACGGTTTGTTCTGAATAGTCAGAGCTTAATCTGATTTGCTTGCCTTCATAAGTGACACTTCTCTTCTCCCTGGACACTTTTAGTATTTGCTCCTTGTCTTTGATTTGGAGAGCTTGATTATTACATGTCTTGGTGTCTTTCTTTTGGGGGGTCTATCCTTCCTGGGGTATGTTCGGCTTCTTGAATGTTTATCTTCTTGTCTTTCAATATTTAGGGAAATTTTCTTCCAGAAACTCTTCAACTATCTCCTCTGTGGACTTTTCTGATTCTTCCTGTTCTAGAATGCCAATAATTCTTAAATTGTTTCATTTTGTGTTATCCAGCATGAATCTTAGATTCTCTTCAGATTTTTTTTTAATCCTTTTTTCTGCTTGTTCTTCTGTCTTAGCAGTATTGAGAGGTTTGTCATCCAGCTTGCTAGTTCTGGCTTCCATCTCTTCTATTATGCTCCTTTCCCCTTTCAGTGTATTGTCCATTTCTGATGTTTTATTATTAATTGTCTGGACCTCTTATTGCAGGTTTTGAATTGTTTCCCATTGCTGTATAATCTTGTTTGATTGCTCTTATAGTACTTTCCTGACCTCTTCCTTGTTTTCCTCCACCCCTTTTTGGAGCATTTGAATTTGTTTCTATAGCATTCTTTTGAATTCTTTCTCAGGCAAATCCAAAACCTGCTCTTCCTCTTCTGGGGAGCCTTTGTCTATCTCCAGCACATTTGTCTCAGTTACTCTTTCCTGTTTTTGGACATGTTTTGAGATCGTTTGTTGTGTTTGAGATCTTTTGTTTGTCATTTCTTATAGTTATGTGGGCTTTTTAATGCCTAAATGGAGGTTTATTGTTGTGTTATTAAGCTGACTTGGTGTCTCCTGGTGGATATGATCAGGAGATAAGCGTCCCTTTTCACATGTAATGTTTAGTAGCTGTTATTGGCTCTTTTCTCAATGGTGAAAGTTTATGGGGTATGCTTGTAGCATGGCTATTTAGCCACAATTGCTGTCTCTTCTTGGGTAACGTAAGGAGAAAAAGCTCCCACCTCCCGGAAGAATGTGTGATCAAAAGGCCCAAAAGTAGAAGCAGTATAAAAGCAAAGACAAGTACCTCCACTTTGAAACAAAAATAAAATCGTGTGTGTGCAGCATAGAAGCCTCCAGCAGTGGGTTGGGGTATGCACTCACTCAGGCCCCTCCCCTAGTCACCGTTGTGGAGGTGTACAGATAGATATTGAGAAGTTAGTGGGAGAAAGATTGTTTACTATTTTTGCCTCTGAAGGTCAGTTAAGTATCTGTGTGTCCACAATGTAATTCTTGAAATAATTGCATCTTTTTATGTTGGGGTTTTACAGATTGTTTATATGGTTTGTCTGTCATGCCAAACCTACCTTTTTTTTTTTTTTCTGGGTGTGCAGGGTTTAATTGTTCCACACAAGTTAACTTTAGGGCTGGGACCCACAGGCAGAAGTCAAAAAGCAGCAGCCAAAGGATTTGCCCTTGGACCAAAGGGCTTTTTCTCTCTATGCCATGGAAGAGCTGTGGTCTCAATGCTGGACTTTGGGGGGTGCGCATCCACCCGCCTGCAGGCGTCCGGGCTGGGCAAAGAAGGCACGATAGGGAAGAGGAGGGAAAAAAAAAAAAACGTGTAGAATTACTCCACACCTCCTTTTGTAAATGTTGCTTCGCTGTTTTTAGCCTAAATTAATACTTTTTGTTATTACCATTTCTTGCTTTTAATAGTCTAAAATACTTAAAATGCTATTTAAAACAGCTCACTTACTTTTAAACACCCATTTTGTACAAAGTCTGGTTACTGCAGGGTGTCTGTAGAGATCAGCACTCAAGAAGTATATGGTCTTGTGGCAGAACAAGATGAGCACAAATCACCATGAGACCTGAATTAAGGGGAGGGTGGAGAGTGGGGAACTCTGTGTTTCCATAGGGAAAGCAGACAATGAAAGCTCTATAGGTGGGAGAGCTCAAGATTTGTTCTAGTAGGAATACAATTTTAATTTTAATGAAATTTGCAGTGTCTATAAAGGAATAGTAATAATAAGCCAGCCTTATGAATGATTTTACCATTTGGTGTGGCAGTTGTTAGACACACAAAGTGAGTCTGCTGTAGTGCTTTTCTGTGGCACAACAAAACTAAACCAGTTACCATCAAGTCAATTCTGACTCATAGAGGCCCCATGTGTTACAGAGTAGAACTGTGCTTCATTGGGTTTTCAAGGCTGTAACTTTTTGGAAGTAGATCACCAGGCTTTTCTACCAGGGCATCTTTGGGTGGGTTGAAGCACCTACTTTTCAGTTAGTACTAGAGTGCTTGACATGGCACCACCCAAAGATGCTGGATATATAATAGATGTTTAATAAGTATGTGCTGAACTATTGAACGGAGCGCTTTAATGAAAGGTCAGATGTTTCTTTCCTAAAAAAAATAAACATAAAATAAAGTTTGATTCTTTTCCCTTCAAATTTAGATTTTCCTTGCTGCTGCTTAATTTGGAGGAGTACTACTTTGAACAGCACACAGCTAACCATATTCAGCATCAAGGCACTCCAAATGAAAGGTGAGGAAGATTTTTTCATTTCTTTCAGATGCCTCATAATGTTGAAATTAAATGCAAGATCATTCTTTTTCCTTCCTGTTTCTTACAGGGAAAACAAAATATAATTTCCTGCTTGTTGAGTGTCAGATGATAAATCTTTTTATTATGTCAAACTTGTTAATTGTGCGATTTAAATTTTTCTGTGTTTTCACTGGAGTGCTGGTGTGGGCTGTGGGTTAATGCACTGGACTGCAAGGTTGGTTTGAACTATAAGGTTGGCAGTTCAAGCTCACTGGCCACTCCTCAGAAACTCTGTAGAGGGTTGTTATGAGTTAGAACTGACTCCATAGCACTTAAAGACAACAACAGCCATAACTTCACATCATTTTCAAAGCTCAAAAGTATGGCATTATCCTATATGGTTGTGGGTACATGCAATCAGCTGGCTAGGAAGATAGCCATTTCTCACTTTTTTCTTGCATCTCTCTTGTATCACATACTCTGCCCTCACTTACTTGTTTTTGGTGTTGTAAAAGTAATGCTTTACATGAAGCAGTAACCAAACTCACTGATACCGAATCATCTGACTCATAGTGACCCTCTATAGGGTTTCTAAGACTGTAAATCTTCCTGGGAACTGAAAGCCTCATCTTTCTCTAATGGAGTGACTGGTGGATTTGAACTGCTGACTCTGCAGTTAGCAATCCATTGCTTATCCTGCAGTGCCATCAGGGATCTGATTAAGCAGGAAAGTGGTATAAAAATCAGCAGTTTCAAAACGAATAATGTGATTTGAACCAGAAGCAAAATCAGTTCCTTAATAATGGTTTCACTAACCTCATATGGATTCAGAAGCTGGTCAGTGAATAAAGAAGATCATAGAAGAATTGATGCCTTTGAATTGTGGTGTTGGAGGAGAGTATTGAAGGTGCCATGGGCTGCCAAAAGAACCAATAGAGCTGTTTTGGAAAAAGTTCAGCCAGAGTGCTCCTTAGAGGCCAAGATGGCTAAACTTCATCTCTCATACTTTGGACATTTTGTCAGGAGGGAACAGTTGTTGGAGAAGGATATCATGCTTAATAAGATGGAGGGTCAGAGAAAAAGAGGAAGACCCCCAACGAGATGGATTGGCCAGGTGGCAGCATTGATGGACTCAAGTGGGGCAACGGTATTGAAGTTGGCCCAGGATCAGACATTGTTTCGTTCTGCTGTGCATGGGGTCGCTATGAGTCGGTTCTGACTCGATGGCACCTGACAACAACAACAACAACAACTACCATAAAAAGAGATTGTCTCTTTGATCTATTTAGAAAGCTATGTACAAAATATAGAATGAAGTTTTTTTTGTTAGTTTAAAATGTGAAGTTGCTATTAACTCAGATAAAAGTTGTTCCAACAGAAATCTATGCACTAATGATTTTTTTGGGGAAATTACCTAACTATATAGGTCACCACTTAGAAGAACTTTGACATTAGATAGACTCATACATTTTTAGTTTTTTTCAGATATTATCTGAAAAGTATAGAAAAGCATGTGGTATTTAAGTGCAAGCCAAAGTAAAAATCACTTGGCTTTTTGGTAGCTTAGGGCATACCAGTTTCCATGTTGTTATTGTAAAGTGCCATCGAGTTGATTCCAACCCATAGTGACCCTGTGTAGGGTTTCCAGGGAGCAGCTGGTGAGTGAACCACCGGCCTTGCAGTTCAAACAACTTTATAGCCTGATGCCCACAGCACCACACCAGGACTCCTACCTGTTTCCTCAGCATTCAGTATTTTAGACAATTACTATTCCCTGACTGTTGGTTGTAATAGCCCTCAAGTCGATTCTAACTCATGATGACCCAGTGTGTTGTAGAGTCGAACTACTCCATAGAGTTTTCTTGGCTGTAATCTTAATGGAAAGGAGCTCTGGTAGCGTAGTGGTTACGAGTCAGGCTACTAACCTCAAGGTCAGCAGTTTGAAACTACCAGTGGTTCCATGGGAGAAAGATGAGGCTTTGCAGCCTTGGAAACCCTATATAGGGTCACTATGGGTCGGAGCCAACTCCATGGTACACCACCACCACCACTACCACCAATCTTTTTTAAAAATTATTATTGTTTTATTGTGAATTATGTGATAGTTTACATGGGAGAACATAAGCTTTACATTCATTATATCGTATATCATTACATCGCCATGGTTACAATCCCCTATATGCATCATCAACCAACCAAATGGTACACCCCGCAAGTTTGCCTCCCGGTCGTCAGCACACAGCTCCTCTCCGTCTCTGGGTCTAGAGTCCCCAGCCACTCCATCTCTCCATGTCATCGTCTCTGCCTCCATCTCTGGTGTCACTCTCTCTGGGTAGGGTCCCGCACTCTGCTCTTTTCCCTTGATGGTCCCAGGGCCCTCCGCTTGTGGACTGCAAAGTACCACCACCAATCTTAATGGAAGCAGATAGCTAGACTTTTTCTTCCTTGGTACTGCTGGGTGGGTTAGTGGTTGTTGTTGGTGGTTGTGTGCCATTGTGACCCTGTATAGGGTTTCTGAGGCTATAAATCTTTAAGGGGCCAGAAAGCCTCATCTTTCTCTCTTTGAGCTACTTTTAAATTCAAACTCCTGACCTTGAAGTTACCCCTTACGTAATCCACTATGCTACCAGAGCGCCATGAGTGGGTTAGGAGTAGTTTTCAAAGTTTCTGCTATCTCTGTTAAAAGTACTTGGCTATTAACATAAAAATTCAAGATTTTAATTTACCCAGGGGCAAGAAAGGCCTAGCAATCTACTTCTTGTGGCAGTACCACAGCCTTGAAAACCATATTGAGCACAGTTTGACTCTGCAACACATGGGTTGCCATGAGTCAGGATTGACTTGACAGCAACCACCTCTTTTCTGACCATTGCACCGTGTGCTCTTACCTCTGCAGTTTTACTCATAGTCTTTTCCCTGTTCGCTTCTTATTCTTCCTTCCAATACTCCACTGTCTGAGCCATAATGCATTGCTTAAAATTAAATGCACTTGTTTATTATTAAAATACAAATAAAGGCTAGCAACCTGAAAACTATAGTTTTGAAGTTATTATTAGGGCAAAATAGTACAACCCCTTGGAAGTGAATTTGGTAATATCTAGTCAAATTGTGGAGTCCTCGTGTGGCACTGTGAGTTAGTGCCCTGGACTGCAAGGTTGGTGGTTCAAATTCACCAGCTGTTCCTCGGAAACTCTGTATAGGGTCAGAACTGACTCGAAGGAAATTAATAATAACAACAACAAGTCAGATTGTAGGTACATTAACCTATTAATAGGGAAGTTCCACTTTTAGGATGCTGGCTAAATATGAAAAAATGACATGTATAGGGTTATTCATTGTAACATTGTTTTCAATAGTAAAAGGTTAACAATCTAATAGGGACTGATTAAATAAAGCATTAAATATTCACCTAATGGAGTAAATAATTTGTAGAATTAGTATAGGATCAAATTTATGATAGAAACAGCTACTCTTAAGAATGAAAAAGAAAATGAAACAAATGAACTTAACAGTATGTAAAGTCTTGATGTGATACTATAGGATAAGCACTGGACTGTAGATTGCTAATCACAAGGCTGTCGGATCAAATTGTTGTTGGTAAGTACCGTGGAGTTGGTTCTGACTCATAATGACCCCGCACAGGATGTCCTACGCTGTAAATCTTTACGGGAGCAGAATGCCTCATCTTTCTGGAAACCCTATAATTGTCAATAGCACTTAATAATAGCAACATATGTAAAGTCAGTGTTTTAACCACAGAGAATTATTTTAATTGACTTCAAAATACAGTAATTATATTATGCCAGGGGCATCGCAAAGTTTAGTAGAAATTTTCATTATCTTCTAATTCCGTTTTTACACAGACTTTTTGTAACCACCTCATATGTTTTTTGGGATATATCCTAAGTTGAAAAAATTGGCAAAGAAAGCATTAACTGTTTTCATTGACAATTTTTATTATTCTTTTGAAATTATTTTATGCACTTACAGATCATTTATGTAGTTGGGTAAAGCAAAGAAATAATAATGTTAATGAACATTAACAAGAACAAAATTTTCAGTATAAAAGAGATCCAATGCTAGAGTTTAAGTAAAAGCCTTGTAATCTTACAATTGAAATGGAAAGACTTAAATAAAGTCCTGGATTTTGTGCATAGGGCTGCCATGAGTTGGAGGCTAACTCGTGTGGCATCAGTGACAACAACAGTATTGAATCTGTGTACTGGAGGTATAAAGTCAGAGTCAGATTTGGTAGTAGTTAAATTGGCACAGTGCTAAACTATAATTAAAGGACGAATGGGTTTCAGAAATTTGGTGGAAAAATTCCATGATCCTTTTATTTAATTTTTCCATGAACTTTTTGAAACCCTCTCATATGTGCAGATTTCTCTAATCTCTGCTGTTGTTGCTGCATGCCGTCAAGTTGGTTCCGACTCACAGCAACCCTGTGTAGGGTTTGGAGGTGGTGTGCCCTCGAGTTGGTTCTGACTAACGACTCTGTTTAGGTTTTCCGATGCTCTAAACCTTTGCAGGAGCAGAAAGCCTCATCTTTCTCCCATGGAAAGGCTGGTGGATTCAAACTGCTGACCTAACAATTACCAACTCAACCCATAACCCACTACTGTACCAGGGCTCCTTTCTCTAGGGAGGTGGAAGGAAGGCAAACATTTTTTGCTTTGTTTTCTTCATGCCTTTTCTTCTTTTTAATTACATTGTTACTATTTTATTAGTTGACACATTAGTGGCCTACTTTCTAGTTAAAATGTGTGATGATTCTTTTATGATTTTCTCTAGGTTCATTAAATAATCTTTTATATTTTGATTCCTAGGAAAATCAGAGGCTCTTTGAAAATATGCTCCAAATCAGTGATTTTTGAACCAGATGCAGTATCCCAACCCATTATTAAGGTAAGAACACTTTAAATATTATCAAGAACATCCAGATTTTCTGTATTTATTTTACCTTTGCTGATTTTTACATTTCTTTTAATTTTATCCAGATTCCTTTGAGAGATTGTATAAAGATAGGAAAATATGGAGAAAATGGAGCCAGTAGACATTTTGCAAAGTATGTCATTATCACTAAAGTGCTTAATTCTACTTCATCCAAAAAAAATTATATATTTAATGACTTTGTTCTGCATTTTAGGGCAAAGTCTGGGGGAATTTCACTCATTTTCAGTCAGGTAAGAAGCACTATGTAAATATTTTTTTCCTGAATGTCAATAAATTTGTATGGTGAAGTTATTTGTGGAAATCTCAAGTAAAGATTGTTTGGGATAGATTTTTTTAAAGCTTTTAAAATTTGGTTGTTAAAAGATATGATCCATAATGGACAGGTTGACTGTCTACTAAGTCTGTGACACACATAGGCTGTCAGTTGTGCCCCAAAGGTTCTCTGAAACGTGTTGAAGCCACCTCTCCCAGACAGGGCAGCCCGTTTCTTCCTATGATTCAGGACCATTAAGAAGACAGGAGATCAGTGGCACACCACCCAAAGTGACCTCAGCTTTCCTCGCTAGCTAACCAGGGCAGCAATGCAGGATGTATGGGCTTGAGTGATGATGACCTTACAGGTGTCCACCTATCTCAACTTTATTCCTTTTTTACCTCATGTGCCCAGTGTTGTGCTCCGTACTGGTGAGAGGGAGACCAGTGAAAGCCTGGTTTCCTGTTCTATAGAGTTTTGTTGTAGAGATGGTCACCACTATTGCCATCTAGCTCTGGATTGCATACCCTTCTTCAAAATGAACGTGGGAAGAGCTCAGTGTTGCCTCAGTTACCTGCAGAGGTACGGTGGTACCGAGGTGTCCGAGAAAAGTTGTTCTGTTATCAAGTTTAGGAGAAGCAGTGAGAAACAAACTTAATCACATTTCTTTACTGCAGGGCTGACTCAAAGCCTTTACTGTACCTAACATGCATTCATTCTCCAGAAGGGGGACAAACAGTCAGTAGTAGCAGATAGTATTCCTGGCACTTTTTTTTTTGCTAATGAACCTTCTGTTCCTGAAGCACTTATTAATGTGTAATAAAAATTACTTCATGAGAGCTGGAAGATCTCAGATTAGGTGTCTGTCTACTGTCTCTGATTCTACTAATTTTAAGGAAGAAAACATTTCACAAGTTCCTTTTGGCCTTATTTTACCGGAATATATGAAAGCAGTTACAGACATTTATTACTTTGGAGAAGAAATAGCATCGTTACTTTGGTCCACTCTTGGGTTGTCATTACTTCTCTGTTATTTTCTTTATGGCGGCCTTATTCTAGAAAGGCCATACTTGAAAGGAAGAGGAATTTTTTCCATAAGACATAGGACTTCTAGAATAAAACTGTTCATTTTATATACTTTTAAAATGTTAATTAACTTTGTTGTTAAGTGCCAATCCAGAGCACCCTGTACAGGGTTTCCAAGGAGCAACTGGTGAGTTTGAACCACAAACCTTGTTGTTCAAACCTTCTTTGTAGTTCAGCACATTAACCCACAGTGCCACACCAGGACTCTTAATTAACTGTAATCTTAGAAATAAAGAACTTTTTAAAAACCACGTTATTGTAATAGTTTGTAGAAGAGCTGACTCAGTCCACTTCGTATCAGTGAAGCCTAAACCCATATTGCTCTTTCAGGGGTTATTTTAACCTTATCTAGCACACAATCATGCAACCTTTGTGGGGTTTTTCAAATTGCTGATTAGGTCAGAAAGTCTCAGAAATACAATGCAGGAAGTTTTGTAGAGCTTTGATTCCAATTTTTCTGTTGCTGCTAGAAGGAAGGGAGTGGGGGTGAGATGTGTGTGTGTGTGTGTGTGTGTGTGTGTTTCACAGGATCTGGAAATACAAAGGAGAACACAATATCCAAAGTCCTTCTCCCCAGGGACTTTGCCTTTCAGTAAGGGAGATAAATCTCTCCTACTGGTGCTGTAGGGTAAGCACTGTACTGCTAACTGCAAGGTTGGCCGTTGAAACGCACCAACCACTCTGTGGGAGTAAGGTGAGGGTGTCTGCTCTCGTAAAGCTGTATCATCTTGTAAACCCTACGTAGAGTCGGTCTGAGTGGGAATCAACCCAATGGCAGTGGGTTTGGGTTTGGGTATCCTGTCAGGTGGTGGTGAGGGGTATGGAAGAATGCTAAAATCAGACCAAGGATAGAAGTGGTAAGGAATGCATGTGCTACTTTCATAAAAGGAAGAATGAAGTATAAAAGAGAGGAACTGATGGGAAACCGGAAGCCAAGAAGGAACAGGCTCTGGTTTGTTACATACAGATAGTTTCTAACTTAAGTTGCTTTTGAGGTAGACCAACTGCACTTACCACCATTTGTTTTTTGTTTTTTAACTTTTATTTTTTATATCTTTAATAATTTATACTACATACAATGTTGTAGGTAATTTGCTGATATTATTCTCATATTCATATACAGATGTTTAAAGATTGGATTTATAAAAATACCGATCGTGAAATGAATAATAATGAAAACCAAAATAAGATATATGATTTAAATTAGAACCAACATATGATGGGTCCGAACGGAACTCCTTCACAAGTTGTGGACTATATGCATTTTAAAATCCCTGCAGGTGCTGAGTCAAGAATATATAGCCAAGCAAGAACAGAGATGGGTAGACTGCGAGGAGAGCTGTGGAGGGGAGAGAGGTGGTTGGTGTTTGGATAGATTCTGAACAGAGACAGGAGAGCTTGTGTGGAGTGAATCGCTCCAGAGTTAGGAGGGACATACACAGTCAAGGGTGACTCCTACTGGGCGGGTTGTGCCCTTTGCATCATGTGATAGAGGAGAGGCGGGGGGTGCTAGAAAGTAAACTGGAGAGCCAGCAGTTTGTAGGTACAGTTGTAAGCCCTGGGGCAGGTGAGACTTGCTAGGGATGGAGGTGCACAGAGCCATCTGAGAATCAAGGAACCAAGGCTCTATAACAGGAGAGTTTGGGAAGAGAGAGGTGTCCAGCAGTTGGCAACTCCTGACACCAGACTCTGGGCTTGGTGACAGAGATTGTGTGTGTCTTTTGTTACTTTCATAGGTGTGGCTTCAGTACTTGGCATGGTGAAAACCTCAGTGTGCTGGAGAAAAAGTACAGACTTCTTGCAAAGAGTTTTTCCACAAAATAGAACAGAGAAATGGCCAAGGGAGGATGTGAAACCAAGAGAGGATTCTTCTCTGTGGTTTGTTTAAAATAGGAAGGGACACATTGTAGTCAAAGAGCTACATAATTCCGTGGATAATGGGTTTGGGGTTATAGTCTGTGCCTGTGTAGAGTATAGACTGTGCACACACAGACCCTCAGCTTAACAGATTTGTGGGTCCAGTTTGAGAAGGCTAGTGGGACTGATGTCTGCTGTCACCTGATGGACCAAATTAGTCCGTGTACAATACAGTGTAAGGGCTGGTGGCATGGTATCCAGGAAAAGCACTGTGTGCGTGAATGAGAAGTGTCAGTGTATTATCGTATTCCAGACCACCTTGTCTCAAAAAACCAGAACTCAGATTACCTTCCCTCACCTAGCTACTCATTTACTTGGCACAGGTGATGACGCTGAAAACATACCTTAGATATTTGATTCAGCTGTTGCCTTCAAGAGTTTGAACCAATTCTTTCCATTTGAACTGCTGCTGAGAATTTGCATATCCAGCTCAGAATCACTATGGATCTTGTTAAAATCAGATACTGATATAGTGTATCTGGTGTGGAAATGCAGATTCTTAGCAGAGAGTTGACACACTGGATAGAGCCTTGATGATTCTCTTCTTAATTTAATATTTGTTATTTGGATGTATATCAGATGTTGGTAGCAACATGTCTGCTCACTGGAAATGGTTGGTGATTTGAACTCCTCAGCTCCTCCACAGGAGAAGAGCTAGAAGTCCTCTCCTATAAAGATTACAGCCTCGGAAACCCTATGGTGGCTGTGCTGTCCTCTATAGGACTGCTATGAATCTCTGCTGACTTGATGGTGCACAAGAATGACATTCATTCAAATATCTTTGGAAATAGATACCACGTAAGAACTGACTCCATAGCACATAACAACAACAACAACAGTGACTTTGTAAATTCTTTATATCCTAATTAAGAGTTATTTTTTACAGTGAAGAACTTCTTTTATAATTTTATAAGTATTGATTTGTCTTTCTCAGGTATATTTCATTAACGAACATAACATTGTTGCACCATATAGAATTGAAAGGGTAAGTAAAACTTTTTGTTTACTCCCAACAATTTATAGAGTGATTTGGAGCAAAAAGATTTTGTGACTCTCTGTACATCTTTAATCAAACATAATAATTAGGAGTACATAAAAGCTTGTTAGCCACAGACTATAGTCCAAAATAATTCAATAAACTGTTTGGCTATTAAAAAAAAAAAAAAAGTGGACCTATTAGAAACTGGAGTCCTGGTGTGGCGTTACAGGATACTGTACTGGACCAGAAGGTCAGTTTGAGCTACAAACCCACTAACCACGCCTTGGAAACCCTATACAAGGTCACTATAGGTTGGAACCACTCCGACGACACTCAACAACAATAGAAAAATAGAAAAGTTTAAGTGATTCAATTATTACATTGAAATTGGAATATGCATCATTTGTAAGATTATGCAATGGATATTATTGAAAATTTATTTGCTATCACGTTTCTGAAAATATCTGTTTTAAAATAGTCAAGAAATATTTATAGGTTATAAAATGCCATTATTTGAGAATTCAGTGATAATTTCTAAATTCTCTGAGTTGGGTAGAAGTCATAAGTAGACATGAATGCAGGGCTGGTTCAGGGTGTGGAGACATTCCATATATCTGTGGTATGCTGTGTTTAATTCTTTGTGCTTCAGCTTAATGTGTTGTAGAAGGATAACTCCGATCAGAAGGAGACTCCGATCAGTGCTCCTTAAAGTGACACCTCTAAGTTTTGGGAAACAGTAGAACAGGCTGTGTGTCTCAGTCCCAAGTGCAGCCCAGCCTCAGTTTCCCAGACAGCAGGTGGAACATACAACTTGTATATGCACTGGCCTCTGGGTTGTATATATAAAAAATACTTGCATGTGCTGTTTAGTAAAAAATCATAAATACTGAGATTTAGTTACCACCAGTTGGTGCTCTTGGTGTTTGGAGGCAGGACCCTTCATTAATGTGGAACTGCCCCTTACATTACGGCCTCTTTCCACCCACTAAATGCCTGTAGTCCCCTGCTCCCCTGTTGTTAAGGCACCTCCACACATTGACTGGAAAATTTCGACTCTTCTCCAAGCGCAGAGCCACTGTCCAGAATACTCCCCCATTGAGACTCTCATTAGACCTTCCTGTGAAGTGCAGAGCTACAGATGGGTTGATGAAAATTATGTAAAAGGAATTAAGGGTAAGGTTGCCTGAGGAATTTAAAGCTCTTTCATTCCGATGTTAATTAAAGATTCAGGATTCTCAGATTAAAAATTTTAATAAGTGTGAAAAAGAAATTGCAGTTTCTAATAAAGATTTGAAAGTTTTGCAGTCAAAGAAAGAAACAGCACTTTAACTATAATAGGTTTTGTGCTGTTGTCACAGGATAATGGTTCAGTTCCAACTCAGAGCAACTCTGTATAGGATTCCCAAGGAGCAGCTGGTGAATTAGAGTTGCCAACCTTGCAATTCATACTGATCTTGTGGTCCAGTGCTTTATCCTGCAACGCCACACCAGGACTCCTATTATATGACTAACATGGTAGAAATAACCGCATTTTCCCAGGGAAGGAAAAATCTCTTACCCGGAAGTATTACATTGTAGTGGTGATGTTATTGTTGCGTGCCATCCTGTCAGTTCTGACTCACAATGAACTCCTGGGATGCAGTAGAGCTGCCCGTAGGGTTTTCTTGTCTGTGATGTTTACAGGAGCATGTTGCCAAGTCTTTCTCCCAAAGAGCCACTGAGTGGGTTTGAAGTATTAGCCTTTCAATTAGCATGCTAGTGCTTAACCATCTGTGCCACCAGAGCTTCTTGAAAATATTATATAGAGGGACTCTTTTAGTATCAATTACTGTTAATTAATTTAGATGACTCCTGATTCCACATAGGAAGAAAATATTGCTTTCTGATTTGTAGACTTTGTCACTCTATATGTATGTGAATTGAATATAAAACAAGAGCAAAATTCTTTCAAATTCTACTTTTTCACAATGAGACACTGTTGCAGTTTGACAACAATCCTCTTTATGCCTTTTTCCATTACTTCAGTGGATATTTATCTTGTTCTTCCTCACAGGAGGACAGACTTGGCAGACATGTTTGAACTCATCCAGTGGTGTACAAATATTCTTACAATGAAATGGTTTGGCATGTTTTTTCTCTTTCTTCGTTTTGATACTTTTTCATGTTTGTCAGGGAAAAATGGAATATGTCTTTGAATTGGATGTTTCAGGGAAAGTGGAAGATGTTGTGGAGACCTTGCTTCAGGTAAGCCAGGGTTTATTCTGGCATTCGCTGTGTCAGTTAGTCAAAGCAAACATTCTTTTACATTTCCTAATTATTTGTCCTACCCATAACATAATCTCTCATAAATATGAAGCAGATTTTACTTGAATTGGTTAGAATAGAAACTATGTTGAGAAGAAGACATAGCTGTATTAGAAGCTGTATCATCTACTAAGTAAAAGGATTGCTGCTGTTGATTGCTTAAGAACTATCTTCATATCTTCTGAGAGAAAAGATAAATAAATGTGTATTTATAATATTTTAGCTCCACAGAGCATCCTACCTTGACAAATTGGGGGATCAAACGGCCATGGTAAGAGTCTAAGATCTGTGTCTTTGTCTGTAAATTAATTTATATCACTATTTTATTTACAAATACTTACATTCATGGTTTTTAAATGGTTCTGTTTTAATAGATAACTGCTATTCTACAGTCACGTTTGGCTAGGACATCATTTGACAAAAACAGGTAAATTTATTTCAGTAAACTTTTTGCTGATTATAAAAGCATTGATGGAAGTTTGTATGCTTCATTCAGTTGTGTCCAAAACTGATGTCATCACCATCCACTGTACTCAAACCCTGTTTGCCTTAGGGCACAGCACACCTCAGTTTAGTAGAAACTATAAGGCTTCCTCAACTCACCCTGCTGACATCCCTCTATCAGAGAGGCGTGCTAGTGCTGCTCCTGGGGATCTCTCTCATCTGTTCACTCACTGTCACCTCACCCAGACCACTATGCTGGCCACTGAGCCTGCTGACTCTCCAGTCCCTTTCTATCCAATGCAATCTTTCTAAAACACAGATGCAGTCAGATCAGTTGAGTTTAAAACTCGTCAGTTTCCTAATTTTATTTTAACATGAAGTATAAAGTCTGTGTGTCTTTAAGTTTTGGATCATTTTAAATTTTGGAATATAATCATGTAAGGGGATTTCAAAAATGTTAATGTAAAAATGGAATAAAAAGAGAATGGAATTTTCCCATGAACCTTCTGGAGCCCCCTTGTGTATTTGTTACTTGCTTTCCCCCTCAACATAATGACTGAAAGCTCTGTGAGCTGAATGTCATTCCTTCCACACCTCTATTTTTTTTTCTTTTTCTTTTTGTATTTTTGTTATAAAAGTCATTCATTATTGCTGTGTAGTAGCATTTAGCAATATAAATATATCACCATTTGTTTATGAACATCTGAGTTGTTCCCAGTTTTCTGCTGCTTTGAATGGTACTGTTAGTGAATATTTTTGGGCATGTGTCTAGGTACATTTGTCTAAGAATTTATGTAGGCTATATACCTATGAAAGGAGCTCTGGTAGCGTAGTGGTTACGAATCGGGCTGTGAACCTTAAGGTCAGCGGTTCGAAACTACCAGCCGCTCCGCGGGAGAAAGATGAGGCTTTCTACTCCCGTAAAGATTTACACCCTCGGAAACCCTGTACAGGGTCGCTATGGGTCAAAACTGACTCAACGGCACTTAACAACAACAACAACATATACCTATGAAGAGATTTCTTAGAGTGTAAAATATATATAGCTTCAATGTTATTAAAGAATGTCATATCTTTTTCCCACATGCTTGCACCACATTAGACTTCCATAAGCAGTATATGAGAATTCCCACTACTTAGTATTATCAGAATTTAAATTTTGCCTATCTGGTAGGTGTTATACTAATTAAAATTTGATATTGTATTTCCCTGATAGTTCATTTGGTCTTTTATATATTTCTTCTTATGTGATCTGTTACTCTAGCTTCATTTTCTATGGTAGTTTCTTTTTCTTATTGATTCTGCTATTTATTATATAGTCTAGATATTAGGCATTAGTCAGCAAATTGCTGACTAATTTTCCTTTAGTGGGCTATTTTTTCCATCTTCTTATAGTATTTTTTCTTTAACATCAGCAAAATTTAAATGCATCACTTCTTTGGTGTTAGCAAAGAATATTGAATGTAACAAGGACTGCCAGAAGAACAAACAAATCTGCCATGGAAGAAGTACAGCCAGAATGTCCCTCAGAAGCAAAGTGAGGATGGCAAGACGTAGTCTCATGTATTTTGAACATGCTATCAGGAGGTACAGAAGTCCTGATATGGCTATGTAGGATATGTACTAGACTACTAACCGAAAGGTTGGTGGTTTTGAGCACCAGCTGCTCCTCAAAACGCTATACAGGACATCTGTGAGTGGGAACTGACTTGATGGCACTTAACAACAATAACAACATCAGGAGGGACTAGTTCCTGGAAAGGTACATCATGCTTGGTAAAATAGAGGGTTAGTGAAAAAGGGGAAGATCCTCAATGAGAAGGATTGATACAGTTGCTGAAACAATGAAATCAAATATCAGCAGTGATTGTGAGGATGGCGCAGGACCGGGCAGCGTTTTGCTTTGTTATACACAGGGTTGCTGTGAATCACACTCATCGGCACTAAAAACAATACAAATGTCTTTAGTTTTAATGCAGTTTATCTTACCAATCTTTTTATTCTGAGTACTTTTTGTGTTTGTTTAGAAGATGTATAACTCAAAGCCATGTGCTTTAAAAATCTTTATAGCTTAGCCTTTCACATTTAGGCCTATGTGGAATTTAATTTCTGTAAATATTGTGAGGTAATGTGGCCCGTTTTCATGCCCCCCCCCCCAATTCTCCCATTTATATCAAAGACCATCCTTTTCCTCACTCCTCTGCTGTATCAAATGTCTATGTACATATGTGAAGTCAGCATGTTAGCATTCTGTTCTGCTCCTTTGGGTATTTGTGTATATCTCTGCCAATTCTACTATATTAGCTTCTGTGGCTTTGTGGTAAGTTCTGATGTCAATCAATTTGGGGATAATTGACATCATTATAATATGGTCTCTTAATCTCCATCTCACAACAACAACAGTTGTGAGATGACATCAAGAACATCATACAAGAAGAAAGCAAAAAGTCATTAAGAAGGAAAAGACCAAAATGGGTATCAGAAAAAACTCTGAAACTTGCTTTCCAGTGTAGAGATGCTAAATCAAATAGACAAAATGAGAAGGTAAAACAGCTAAAAAGAAATTTTTCAAAAAGTCAGCTCAGAAGACAAACTCAAATATTATAAAGAAATGTGCAAAGACCCAGAGTTAGAAACCCAAAAGGGAAGAACATGCTCAACACGTGCAATATTGAAGGATTCTATGTGTAAAATATTGAATGATGCAGAAAACATCTAATGAAGATGGAAGAAATACACAGAATCACTATACCAAAAAGAAATGGTCGGTGTTCAAACATTTCAAGAAGTAGTATGTGATCAAGAGTCCGTGATTCTAAAGGAAGAAGTCCAAGGTGTATGGAAGGCATTTGGCAAAGAAGGCAGCACAGGGAATAGATGGAATACAAATTGAAAAAATTTCAACAAACCAATGCAGTACTGGCAGCACTCACGCATCTATGCCAAGAAATTTGGAAGACAACTTTCTGGCTGACTGGAAGAGATTCATATTTATGCCCATTTCAAAGAGAGGTGACCCAATAGAATGCAGAAGTCATCAGGCAATATCATTAATGTCTCAGGCAAGTAAAATTTTACTAGAGATAATACACAAATGACTGCAACCATACATTAAGAACTTCCAGAGGTTCAAGCCAGATTCTAAAGAGGACATGGAACGACACTGTCATTGCAGACATCAGATAGATCTTGGCTGAAAGCATCTACTACCAGAAAGACGTTTACTTGTCCTTTATTGACTACACAAAGGCTTTTGATAATATGGATCATGACAAACTATGGACAACATTGCGGAGAATGAACATTCCAAACACTAATTGTGTTCATGAGGAGCCCATACAAAGACCAAGAGGCCATTGTTTGAACAGAACAAGGGAACACTGAATGGTTAAAAATTAGGAAAGGTGTGCACCAGGTTTGTTTACTTTTACCCTACATATTCAATCTGTATTCTGAGCATATAATTTGAGAAGCTGTATTACATTAAGAAAAACAAAGCATCAGGGTTGGAACAAAACTCATTAACAACCTGGGATATGCAGATGATACAACCTTGCTCACTGAAAGTGAAGAGGACTTAAAATACTTATTGATGAAGGTCAAAGACCACAACCTTCAGTATGGATTGCACCTCAATGTAAAGAAAACATAAATCCTTACCACTGGATCAATAAACAACATCCACATAAATAGAGAAAAGATTGATGTAATCGAAGACTTCATTTTAGTCAGATAACCGTCAACACTCATGGAAGCAGCAGTCAAGAAATCAAACGGTGTATTGCATTAGGCATATCTGCTGCACAAGAGCTTTTTAAAGTGTTGAAGAGCAAAGATGTCAATTTGAGGACCAAAGTATATCTGACCCAAGCCATGGTATTTTCAGTAACCTCACATACATGTGAAAATTGATCAGTGAATAAGGAAGATCGTAGAAGAATTGATGCATTTGAGTTAGGATGTTGGAGGAAATATTAAAAGTGCCATGGGCTGCCAAAAGAACAAACAGATCTGTATTGAAGAAGTATAGCCAGAGTGCTCCTTGGGAGCCAGCATGGCCAGAGTACATGTCTCATACTTCATACTATTATTAGGAGGGACCAGATTGATTTGTAAAGGGGAGGGTCAGAGAAAAAGAGGAAAACCTCAGCGAGATGGATTGGCACAGTGGCAGTAGCAGTGGGCTTGAACATAGCAGTGATTGTGAGGTTGGCGCAGGACCAGCCAGTGTTTTGTTCTGTTTTGCATAGGCTCACTCTGAGTCGGTACCGACTCAATGGCACCTAACAACAACAACAGTCTCCATTTATTTAGGTCTTTATTTTCTTCTTTGTTTTCTTATGATTTTCTTTATAAATGCCTTGCGTGTTATGTATATTCTAGTATCATATTTTTATAACATTTTAAATGGTATCCTATTTAAATTTCATTTTTTATTTGCTGATATATTGAAATGAAAATTTTTGTCACTTTTTATTGTGACTTGAGTAAAGGTTTACAGACAAGATCATCAGCTTTGCATTCAACAAATCATGCACTCTGCTTCATCTCCATGTTTACAATCCTCTATACAGAACAACAAGGAGCTCTGGTAGCATAGTGGTTAAGTCAGGCTGTGAACCACAAGGTCAGCAGTTCTAAACTACCAGCTGTTCTGTGTGAGAAAGATGAGGTTCTCTGCTCCCGTAAAGAGTCACAGCCTCAGAAACCCTTTACAGGGTCACTATGAGTAAGAACTGACTCCACGGCACTTAACAACAACATACAGAACAACAGTTATCCTGCTTCATCCCTGCGGTTTCTGTTTGCATTCCACCACCCTTCTCAACCCTGTCCTTAGGAAAATGTTGCCATTTTCATTTTGAATGATTGACCACTTCATGGTGAGTATATCTTGTCCACTGCTTTGCTGAAAATTGGGCCCCAAGGGTATGTTCTTTTCCAGACCTGAAGGGTGGTCGAAATCTATATCCTTAGGTTCCT